CTTAAAAAATAAAAACTTGGGGAGGGGGCCAGGGAGATGGCTCAGTGGAATAAGCGCTTCCCTGGCAAGTGCAAGGGCCTGAGTTCAATCCCCGGTTCTGCAAAACAAAATAAAAATAAAAACTTTAAATTCATACACCTGAAATTTCTGAAATGAAAACAACTAAAGGAAAGAAAGAACTGCATCCAGCTATAGAAGAAATCAAATCAGAAATATTTTCTTAGATAAAAGAAATGACAACAATCATGTAAGAATTGCTCAATATATCTAAAGAAGATATAAATAAAAGAGACTATAAAAATGACATAATACAGAAAAAAATTAGAATGCATGAAACAGATTCAAATAAATATTAGGAAATTAAGAATTCCACTGAAAGCTGGCAAAACCCTTGAATAAAACTGAAAACAGGCTTTCAGACCTTGAAGACAACATTGCTGCTAGAGAATGTGGAAGGAAAGACCCCTTAAAAATAACAAGGAACCAGGAAATAATTCAACACCTGCAAGATGACACAAAGAAAAAAATATAAGACTGAAAGGTGTGACTGGGGTGTTTTGTTTTGTTTCTGTCTTTGTTTTTATGTATTTTACAGGGTCTACAAGGTCTCACTATGTAGATTGTACTGGTAGTCATTCTCCTGTTTTCAGCCTCCCAAGCACTGAGATTACAGGCGAGCACCACCACTCCCAGTCTCAATCACCACCTCAGCATGCGCCCTAAGTATGGCATGCTGGGTATCAATCCCCGGCCACTGTGCTCTGCCTAAGCAGGTGTGTTAGTCTGCTGAGCTATCCGTCCAGCCCTTTTTGGTGTATGTCTGTGATCCCAGTACTTGATTGCAGCCTAAGGTATGAAGTAAGCTCAAAGTCATCCTGAACTGCATATAGCAAGACCCTCTCTCCAAAAGACTGAAAAAAAAAAAAAAAAAAAAGACTGATAGGTGTGAAAACAACAGCAGGATGATAAAAACACAAATGATAAAAATGATTATTTGCAGAAGTAGTAGCAGAAAATTTCCCAAGCATGAGAAAAGAATCTGAAATACATTTATGTGAGGCAGATAGAATTCCAATTAGCCACAATCAAAATAAATGTACACTTAGATACATAATAATCAATATCCCACAAATTCACCAAAATAAGAAAATATTAAAAGCTATTTTAAAGAGAAGAAACATCACCTACAGTGGAAAGCCCATCAGAATCATGGCAGATTTCTCAACGTAAACCATAAAATCAAGAAGGATTTGGAGTCAAATATTTCACATCCTGAAAGAAAATAACTTCCAGCTGAGATTGCTATACTCTGAAAAACCATCTATCAAATTCAATAGTGAGATAAGATACTTACATGATAAAGAACTGAAGAAGTTTACGGCCACCAAAGCAACCCTACACAGAATACTGACAGATATTCTAGAAAGAGACAGAAACAACCACAACTTCAAGAACAACAGAAAGGAATCACCAAGCAGAGCAAGCAATTAAACACAGGGAAAAAGTAGGGAACTTACAGCAGAAAAATAACATGACAGAGATAAGCCAATCAGTTATAACCATCAGTACAAATGGCCTCGATTCACCAATCAAAAGAAACAGATTGGCAGAGTGGACTGAGAAGCAAAATCTAATAATATACTGTATACAAGAAACATATTTAACTCAAAAGGAAATTGATAGACTGAAAGTCAAAAGATGGGCATGATACTCCATGCAACAGGAACCTGGAAAAAACAGGGATTGCTGTTCTGGTTGCTGACAAAATCATCTTCAAACCAAAAGTGAGTAAAAGAGATAAGGTCACTATATACTTGTTAGGGGAAAAATGCAAGAGAAAAAGATAAGAATCATACATATATGTGTATCCAATGTAGAAGCACCCAACTATATAAGACAAATATTAATAGACATAAAAATTCTAAGTAAGCAATAACATACTAGTAACAGAGGACCTTAAAGAGATAGATCAGCTACACAAAAAATTAGCAAAAAAATAATAGAACTGAATCATGCCTGTGTACAAATGGACCTAATAGACATTTACAGGGTTTTCCACCCAACAGATCAGAATATATACATTCCTCTCAGCATACATAATGTTCTGTAAAATACACAATCTATTAACCCATAGACTATAGTTAAGTGAATGCAAATGAATTAAAATTATCCCATGCTTATTATCTGACCACACAGTACAATGAAATTGGAAATTAATACTAAGAGAAATCACAAAAAAATTACATAAACCTATGAAAATTAAATAACATCCTCCTGAATAGCAAATGGGCCACAGATGAAATTAAACAATATTTTGCAAATACAACTTATTGTAACCTATAGGACACAATGGAAGTGTGCAAAGAGGAAAATTCATAACAATCCTCACATTAGGAAAAAACAGAATGAGCATAAATAATGTTGTACCTCAATCTTTTGGCAAAAGATGTGCAAGTCAAATGTAAACATTGTGTTGTGCCACCAGAATAAAAAATTGAAAGAGTAAATAAGACCCAAAATGTGCAATAGAAACTGTGAAAGGGCAAGTAACTGCTCAAAAGGAAAGAATAAATAAGCAGGAAAGGAGAAGTAAAAGAAAACACACACACACACGCACAAGATAGCTAAGATAATCACAGTATTAATTTCTATTAGTTCATTAAAGGCACAGCTTGTGCTTATATTGTCTGAATTGAAGATAACAATATTCATTATAAATGCCATCGTTAATTTTTTATTACCTTGTTCTGAAATTGCTTTTATGATTTTCTTCTCTCTTTAAACTAAAAACATAAATTTATTGAGGTGTCTTGAAAATAATACAAGTTACCTGTGGCCTCTATCATTATAAGAGATGCTTGATGTGGTGTCATTAGCTTCCAGTAATTTATTAGGTATGACAAACTGCTGCTTGGGTAACCTTGGTCGTTCAGATTGCTGCACATGCATTTTCAGTTTCTTCTCTACAGGCCAGCATGGTAGTGGGTTTTCTGCAATACACAACATTCTCCACAGTCCCCAGCTCAAGGGTAACACCATGTGTTGAAAAACTTCTTTTCCTGAAGTGTGTAGACATTTTTTGGGTCAGATTCTGTGTAAGTGTCAAAAATGCTTTTACCAGCTTCATTATATGATCATGGTCTTTCACATACACTGATAAAAAGCAAACTGCTTTAAAAGTCAGTAAATGGAAAAGATGAGGGCTGCCTGTTAGTGAGTGGATGTGTTTTGATTTGACTGGATAATCAAATGTGAAAGCAATTTTGTAAACCTTGTACTGTAGGCTTTATTGCATGTGTCAAAGTTTTGCATCCCTGCATGTAGAGGAATTTGCATGGTTCACATACCATTCACTAGTACTAAAGGGAATTTGATGCTTCTTTTTGAGTAATGGGGGTAGAAATTCTCAGCAGAGTGGGACATGAATGGCAGCGCGTCCTGCTGCCTCTTCCAGTATGCACAACTGCATTCAGAGCCGTGACTGGCCTAGTATCAAGTTCTAGGGTCATACACTTCCCCTGTAGAGTGTGTAGAAGTGTCCTTTGGGCTTTTGATTAGTCTTTAAACATGGCTTTTCTCATTCAGCTTTTTGATTTGTCCCTGCATGTAGAGGAATTTGCATAGTCCACATACCATTCGCTAGTACTAAAGGGAATTTGATGCTTCTTTTTGAGTAACCATGTCCCACTGTTGAATGCCTGGGGACAGTCCAAGTAAGGAAGAGATGGACTTTGCTTTGGGTGATATGGAGGAAATGGGTAGGACTTGTTCTCTGGAAGAACCAGGAAGTTGGGGTCTCTGATTGATTTCTTTAAACTAGTAGTTCTTTGCATATGCCCTCAGACTCCTAGCATTAGCTTCTTCTGGAAACTTGTTAAAAACATAAATTCTTGGGCCACACACCAAACTCCAAGGCCCCCCCTGCCCCCCGCCTAAGCAATTCTAACACACTCTGTGATTTGTAGTGATTTGTTTCTGACATGTTGGCCTGATGTGTAGATGATACAATAACTTGTTTTGTGAAAACACTAGACATTTTTGTACCATTTAATTAGCTTTCAATTATATAGAAGAGCATAGATCCCATATCACCTGGTGAAGACAGGTCCCTCTTGCCAGGTGAGCAATAGCCACATACTGTGGGTCCTGCTCCAGTGACCCATAGTAGGTGAGCAACTGTCCTCTTGGGAGAGACCATGAACAGTTCTTGGACAGCTGGCCTAGGTCTAGGATCTGCAAGTAAAAAGGTTGGTCCTGGCATTTTCCCATATGCAGCCCCACTTGCCCCTATTCCACTCCAAAAACAGTTTAATGTATTTAAGAAGAGATTGGCTCTGTCTTTTCACCAGCAGCTGAAACTATTCTATTTCCCTTGGATTTGTGAATTAGGGTTTATTTCAGCTCATACCCTGCTTTTAAATTTCTTTCTGCTTGTGACCCTTTTGAAATACGGCTGTTGGGGTCTATTAAAACACTGCTCAAATCAGGACTCTTCTGCCTTAAAATTAAAGTACATAGGGCTTCACCTTGTCATTAATCAAAATAAAAAAAAAATCTAGAAGATACTTCCTCCCCTGCCTCTGAGTTTTCTATCCCTGCTTTGACACTGTGCAGACCCTTCATTGAGACAGAAGAGTCAAGGAGGCCTGTGAGTTCCACGTGGACCCCCTAATTTATAACTGAAATTATAACTTAAAGTTTAACCTTGCTTTTTCAGCAAGCTGAGCCCAGTGGCCTGAGTGGTTATGCCATTAGGACATCAGCCACTGCAGATAAGGAACCGTTGGGGTGTGAACTGCTTCTTCTGTTCATGTCTTTCATATGCATTTCATTGCTCCCTTTTCTACCTGATAATTCTTATTTTCTCAGTATCAATTATGAGAACAGTAACATTGTTTGCTGCTATGTCTTTAGGGCCACTTGAGAGCTCAGTAACCACTTGTTTATCCAATAACCAAAATGCACTTTCTAATAGCTTACACCTGTCTTTTGCGTTACAGTTTGGGGCTGAATTCCGAAGGTTCTCTTTGGACCGTCATAAGCCTGGGAAGTTTGAAGATTTCTACCAGTTGGTCGTGCACACCCACCACATCTCCAACACTGAAGTAACCATTGGCTATGCAGATGTGCATGGGGACCTGCTGCCCATCAACAATGATGACAACTTCTGCAAGGCAGTCTCCAGTGCAAATCCTCTGCTCCGAGTCTTCATCCAGAAACGAGGTGCCCAACAGGCAGAGCTGCTGCTTTTTTAGTAGTCATTTAAGACAAAAATACAATTCCTAAATTGGTTCGCCATGACAGGATTACGAAATTCTGTTTTGTAACTCATGATAGGAGATTATTTTCTGGTCAAATCAGTACAAAGGCTCAGAAATGACAAAATTGCATCTTATATTTTAACTAGTATTGACCTTTTAAATACTAAGGAAAACAATACTAATATTTCCAGTATTTTAACTGAAAATAAGTAAATTCAGTCATGAAGAGTCATTTGTCAGTAGTCTAAAAGTTAAACGTTAAACCCATATGTGTATTTTCCCTATTTTTTTAGGATTGGGAAATAATGTTAACTTTAAGTTATAATTTCAGTTAATGTTTAGCTCTGATGGCCCAGCTGTGCTCTAAGTAATAAGAGTATCATTTATGTGAAAATAAATTAGTAACATGGTAGGTAAACTTTGTTTGAAAGTGGGTACTGGCTGCAGATTCACTGTAGGACCCTGTCCTGTTCATATCATAGAAGTATGTTTTACTTTTTCTTTTTTTACGGTACCAGAGATTGAACTCAGGAGCCTGCACTTGCCAGGCAAGCACTTATTCTACTGAGCTATCTCCCCGGGCCTTACATTCATTTTGCTTCTCTAAACTTAGGCGAACTGTCATTTCATACTAATGTGCCAAAGGAAAGAATGTTGCAGATGAAGTTTTAAATCAGAAAAATTGCATTTTTGTAATGGATTTGGTAATGATTATCCCTCTGTCCTAGGACAGATCTCTTGTGTACACAGTGAACACTGACTGCCTTAAAGATCAAAGCAGCCAGTAGAGGCCCTTGAAGAATGACTTCACAATACACTATTGCTGTTATATAATAATCAGGCATTTCTCTGACATACTTAAGGATGGCTTGGTGAAGATGAACCAGAGGAAGCCGCCTTAGTGTGCTGGGTGAAAAAACAGAGAAATCACAGGGTACAAGCCAGCTGTAGGGTTCATGTCTGCAGGTCACATCCTTTGTGTCCTGAACCTGACTGTCCTCATTTGTAAAATGGGGTGCCAATAATACTACGTGTCAGGTCCCATGAGGCAATGTACTGAGCAGTGTGTGAGTTTCCAGTCTGTGCCCTGTGTTAGCTCTTGTGTACTTCCCACCTGTGGTGATAGGAGACAGCAGGAGGCTTGCTGACCTTGCTCAGGCCCATTCTCTGGCACAAGATCAGAGCTCTGTGCATCTGCAGTGTTTCTGAGCCATGTGTCCTGCTGACAGTATGGAAAGGCCAGCATAGCTGTCTCATACAGCAACCAATCAGGGCATATCTTGAGATCAGGTCTCTCCAGGCTCCCTGTATGTTTAGGTAGCCTCCAGCATCCCTCTTCTCTGATCTGTGTCTGCTGTTCTCTAGTGGTCCCCACTGCCCAGATGGCCCTAGGACAAACACCTGCCCCCTCTTGCTGCCCCTACCTGGAGCTCTCTTCCCCTCACACCAATCAGGAATCTGTTGATGCATTTTCCTCTTAGTCTGATATTTCTGTGTGCTTTCTGTCTGTTTCCACCAGACCTTGACACCCAAGGACCTTGTTCCTGTTCATGCCCATGCTCATGAGGGGTAGGATGAAGATGTGAATGTGCCAGCAAATGGCACATATGCACACAGACTTCGTCATGTATTGTGCAGGAAGACAGTCTTTGTGTCCTATGGCTGCAGAATTGGGGTTTGAAGTCCCAGCAGAGGTTGGCCTGGAGGAGGTGTGGCCCCTCTGCCAGGTACTGGCATATACTTCATTCCATCAGCCCTTTCTCAGTCTCCTCTCAGCCACTCAACCCACTGAGCTGAGCATCCCATCTGTGAAATGGAAGGGCAGCATGTCTCCTGAGTTGTCATCAGGAGACATGCCAACAAACCCTTTCTGGGTTTTCACATATTCACTGTCTTAGTCCCACATTCCATCATTGGAGCCAAGCCCTCTTATCCTCAGAGCTCAGACAGAATCTTCCTACCCTACTCACTGAGTTCTCATAGTGGCAACAATATTCAGGATAGAGTGCTGGGGAACTAATGCATTTGTGGATAGCCAGACTCCCTCAGGTTTGGGACAGATGTGCCAATCTGTCATGTGAAGATGCAGTGTCTGTGGCAGCTGGTTCCAGAGGCCCCCCCAAGTTCAGCAAAGTCCACAGTCTCTCCATTGCCTCTGTTTTAAGAGGCTGAATACATCTTATTACTGAAATATATTTTTATAGGACACTGTATTACTATCACAAATGAAAGATCAGCATTCTTCTAATGCATGTTGAGATAAACCCACAACTATGTTTGAAAAAATGAGCCATCTACTTAAAATAGTCTCTTTCTTCAAACCACACAAGGACATGACAGTAAAATTACAGACTAGCATCCTCTGTGAATGTAGATATACAGTCTCCAAGCAGAATGTCAGCATGTGGATGACATGAATCCATGTCACATGGAGGTTTACCACAATACTAGTCACAGCAGCGAAAGATACAAACAGCAAGTGTCCTTCAGCCAACAGATAGATAAATAAAGTACATATGTTTCCACAAAGGAAAGTTGCTGAGCCATAAAAAGAAATGAAGTACTGCACAAGTAGCAGTGGAGGTCAGCTCAAAAGCAGTGTATCAACTGAACTAGGCAGGATGTAAAGGTTGTTTGCTCTATATTGACTTTTATGAGTGATCCTCATTATTTGGGGATTCTGTTTTTACATATTTGCCTACTTGCCAAAATTTATTTGTAACCCCAAGCCAATACTCATTGTAATTTTGTGGTCATTTAAAGAAATTCTCAGTGTGTTTAGAAATGTGAGTCACCCACTGCACATGTACCCACCTGCTATCAAAAACAGAAATGCTGGGCATGGTAGCACATACCTGTGATCCTAGCACTCTTGAAGGCTGGATCACAAAGTTGAGACTAGCCTGAACAATTTAGTGACGTAGCAAAACACTGTCTCAAAAAAAATAAAGGACTGGGGATAAAAACAAATGTAGTAAGCCTCCCATGCCCCACAGTAAGGTAGCATTTCCTCACAGTCTGTTCAGTACCATTGTTTACGTATGTTACTTGATTTTTGTTGGTGATTTTGCTATTTGAAGTGGCTCCAATTGTAGTACTGAAGTGTTTTCTAGTGTCCTCAGCATAGGAGTCTGTGTTGTGCCTCAGGCAGAAGATATGTTCAGGCACATTTACCGTGAGTTTCGTGTTCATGACTCAACAGTACATGTTAAATAAGGAGTCTTGAGACTTACCATGAGAAATAAAGTGCTGTATTGACCAGTTGATAAAAGTGCTACAGCCAGAGGCTCATGGCCACCTGACTTTCTTCCCCAGGAGCCATGACTCCATGTTCACTGATATGGTGGTTTTGGTGAGTTTATAAAGTAAAAAAGGCTGAGTGATGGAGATAGCACTGTTTGTGAAAAGCCTAAGATGAGCAACTTTGTACAGATAAAAAGTAGATTTCATGGTTGCTAGGGGTGTGAGAGGGGAGATCTGGGAGGATTAAAGTTTCTTTTAGGCATGGTAGAGATATAAATATGAACTACTATATGTATTAGAACTATTTTAGTATGTAAACTTGATGTCCTCTATATCTTAAGCAAACTGTTCAAGAAAACAACACAGTGCCAGGGCTGGTGGCTGACAGTGGGCTCAAAGCACTCTCCTGGACTGGACCATGGCCCTCTGTGCACAGTTCAGGCTTGCCTGTGTCTGTATTTCCAGAATTAGCCATACTGAACATACAAACTTTATTTTTATTTTTTAAAGAGAGTTCAAAATAGTATTAAAACAAAAAAATTGCAAATGATACAAAATATCACTAAACTAATGTGAATTACACAGTATTTGTGGTATTGTGTAGTGTTGTATTCAAATGAGTTATTTCCATATATATGCATATAAAACTGGAAAAAGAAAGAAAAACAGAAAAGAAAAAAGTTACAAAAATTTAAAAAGAGGAGCTGGGGAGATATTTCAGTGGAATAAGTGCTTGCTGGCAAGAGCAAAGTCTTGAGTTCAATCCCTGGTAACAAAAAATAAATAAATAAATAAATAAATAAATAAAAATAAAAGCAGCAAAAAATAAAAAGAATTGAAAAAAGATGACAAAACTAATTAAGCATTAACTGATTTCTTTACATAGACCAGCAGAAATCTGCAGCACAGTTGTCCAAACCATCCTGTTTACATACATAAATATATCTTTCCTCCACTCCCTCTCTTGTCTTTTTCCTCATCTCAGGAATTTCCTTCCCTTTAAACAGGTTCATTCCCTTTTTCCCATATCTATTATACACTTCAGACTTTATTTTTCTTTTTCAGGTTCTTACACTAAAGAGACAATATGATATTTGCATATGTGGGTCTGATTTACTTTGTTTATGAGTATGGTCCCTAGTTGCATCCATTTACCAATAAAAAGCCTCAAATATATTCTTTTATATAGATGAATAATGCATAAAAATTGTGTAAAATTACCACATCTTCTTTATCCATTGCTCAGTTGATGGGAATTTGGATACCTTCTAAGATTTAGCTATGACAAATTGCACTGCTATAAACATAGGAGCACATAAATTGTTGTGGTATGACGTATTTACTTCTGGAAAAATACCCAAGAGAGGAATAGCTGGGTTGAATGGGACCTCTAATGCTAGCTTTTAGAAGAATCTCCACACTGACATCCATAGTTATTGTACCAGTCTGCACTGCAACCAACAATGGAGAAAGATCCCTTTTTTTCCATATAGCCCCTCCAACATTTGTTATTGGTTGACTTCTTGATGATATCCATTCTTTCTGGGGTGAGAGTTGATATATCTACTTACAATTTGTATTTCTTCTGAAAAGTGTATATTGATCTCAGATGCCCACTTTTGGATTGGGTCTTTGAATTTTGGGAGCCTGATTCTTTTAGCTCTTCATATGTTCTAGATAGAAGGCCTTTGTCAGAGGGACAATCATCTATAATTTTTT